AAATTAAAAAGGGGTTAGAAACAGAGAGACTATTATGTATTTAGAAAAAATTTTCTAAAGATTATTATTCATTCTATAATATTTGAGTATATCTCGACGCCTTAAGGACACTGTTTACAAATGCCATTTTTATGAGTTCCATAAAAACACAGAATATATTGATTTAATTCTGGGCCAGCACATCTCCTACATAAATAGTAGCATTTAATTTTTGAAATTAATATATTCTTTAATGAAACCTATCCATTTCCTTCATTTGACACTTTAAATTACATTTTATTTTATTTGTTTATGAAATTAATAGAGTTAGTATTAATAGTTTTACTTTCAGCTTAGGATATTTCACAAAATAATGAAAAATTTTTATATTATACAGGTGTAGAATTATGTGAAAACTTCAATTCCAAATTAAAATTTTATTGTTCCATTTGTCCATGTACCTTGAAATAATAAATCAAATGATATGTGAGAACCTTACTTCAGGGTTATAATAATGTAAATTATGGAGATGTACCGTTCATAAAATATGGTTAAGTTGAAGATTCTTCCTAAAATTATGTTAAATTCCTATCCTCAATCAAGTATTTAACAATAATCACCCATTATGAATAAAACTAAGAGAAAACAACAAAAATCTAGTTAGTGGTATGAATTGTGAGCTATAAAATATTATATAAAATAGTTTGAATAATTAAAGATAAAATTGAAAACCAGAATTTTAAATATTTTGCAAATGAAGAAAGATAATTTTCATTATACATGATTGAAGATCAACATTTTTTTCAAAATTACTTAAGAATGTTTCAAAAAATCCAAAATAAATCATCTCAAATAGCCTGTTATAAGAAGTTTTTTTAGATGGAGAAAGCATTTGCAATAGAGAAAATTCATAATTAATGTTAAATTTGTATCAAAGCTAATACTGTTTAACATATAATGTACTTAAATTGCTACATTTATTAACTAAAGAAGCATATGTTGGGACTTGAATAAATTTACATAAAATAAAAAACTTAATGTATTTAGCATTTATATGGTTAATATCTACCTCTTAAATTTAAAATAGTTAATTTCTAATATTATTGAATAAGTTTATAACAATCTATTAAGGAAAATAAACTTCATGCAAAAAATATTATCTAAAGCAGTAAATTCTTTATCCTTCTTTTTGCTTCTCCTCTAAAGAACGAAAATGCATTATAGAAAGGAAGCTTAATAGCAAAAATTAATTAGAAGAGGCACTTAAAATTGTGGTATTTTTTTCAGTTCTTATCATTACTCATTAAATTTATTGTAATAAAAATCTCATGAAAAGAAGAAAACAAATAAGAGAATAAAATTTTAGCTAGCTTAAAATTTTCAAAATTATATATTGAAAAATAGGTTATTGCTAGAAAAATATACTCTATTCAATAAATTGTGTTATAAAAAATCTATAATAATGAAAAAGGATTGGAATAATTTAAAAATTGAAACCATAAGCATAAAAATTAAAAGAAAAAAACGTTATTAAAATTCTCAAATTTTAAATGAAAATATCATTAAATCAAAGCTCCATCTTTAAATAATCGAGTTCCTATTCCTCTTTATAGTTTCTAGTCTTATCATAATAAACCAGAATTGCAGTAAGAAGGACAATCACTATAAATTATCTAACAGAATTAAAATTTTTCCTTATTACATACTAATAGCTTAAGATGAAATTTAATTGATATAAATGGAATTTAAAGTAAAATTATGCCCGCCATCAAATAGAAGATTGGTTTATTTATTAAAATTTTAAAGACCAAAAATATTATAAAGAGTTATCAAATAGCTTTGGTTTCATGAATTAATAGTATTTGAATATATGAAAAGCAACAAATCTGAACTGTTTAAAGGTTAAAAATTTAAATTAAACTGTGTTTTAAGGTAAGGAGGTGATGTTTAGATAATATCCTAAAGTATCATCCTGCTTTAGAGAATGTCTAGACCCTCAAGTATCCACAAAATGGAGATAATACAATTGAAACCTTAATTAGAAATCATAAGAAATATTTCTTTAAAATTTAAAATTAGAACTAGTATTGTTTCAAATTGGAGTATTTA